TGAATGAATGAATGAATGAATGAATGAATGAATGAATGAATGAATGAATGAATGAATGAATGAATGAATGAATACATATATACATAAATAAGTCACAGGTGATACCCTGTGTCATTGCTAGGTAAAGGTAAAGGTTCCCCTTGACATTAATCCAGTCGTGTCCGACTCTAGAACGCAGTGCTCATCCCTGTTTCCAAGCCGCAGCACCAGCGTTTTGTCCATAGAAAGTTTCCGTGGTCACGTGGCCAGCGCAACTAGACACGGAATGCCATTACTTTCCCACCATGGTGGTACCTATCTACTTGCATTTTTACATGCTTTCGAACTGCTAGGTTGGCAATGCTAGATATCATTGCTGTAGGGGCTTATATTTTGCTATCGACAATTCACTACACAAGACTAGGTAATTTTGACATGACTGGGAGTCAATATGTCGTGTCACCCTTCCTCATAATTCCAGATGTGAAGTCCCTATCTGAATTGTTGCTGCTGTTGTTTGAAACCCTCATTTGTATTTAAGCAATATGCATGGAGGGCTGCATACCTGATTCCAAAACTGAAGTACCTCCTAGAGGCAGAGACACAACCAGCAGTTTTGGTGCTTGTGGCTTAGCTGCTCTGTTGGTTAAGCTTGAATCATGTGAGATTTGCATATTCAGGGAGAGGATGGAGGGGGGCTGTGTCTGAGTGCATGCTTGCAAATTGTTTTTGTGCTGAGCCTGTTTGTTCTGTGTTTTCTTTTGCCCACGGAGGCAATATATGTGCCTGAGGGGGATGGATTCATGTCCTTCCAATAGCAAAGGGTGGCTTTGCAACATTCCAGTGATAAGTTTTTGTGCCTCTAAATTTTGACACCCTCTAGCAAAGTCCCAGTTGTCTGTTCCTAGCTACTGCTCTGCCCAATTTCCAAGAGTGCAATTCTTCCCCCACCCCACCCCACACATTTAAAACTTTTTAAAATGTACCAAAGCCAGGCCACCTGTTTGCAGTCTGAACATTCGGTATTCCATGTCTTGCAAAAGAGCACAGCAAACTTCATGTTGGAGATCGGAAGGAAAGGGATTAAAAATAAAACTGCATATATCTTAATGTCTTTATACAGCTCTGTGATGAGATCACATGTGCAACACTGCTTACTCCTAGCTATACCTTTTTTTAAAGATACAAGCAAACAAGGAAAGCAGGGGTCAGGGAGAGACAATCTAAATCAAGAGACTAAAACAACTTCCCTATGAGCAATACAGTTTGGGCTTTTCAACTTAGGAGAAAACAGGGCAGAGAAAAGGAAGTATTTCTCGAAAGGCAAAGCCATGCTAAAAGTCTTTTAACCATTATGAGCACCCTTCTGGGAACCCTGAAGGGTGGAGGTATAAATGGAATAAATAAATTGTAAATATGCATTCATGCAGCACACTGATAAACTGTATAATGTGCTACCACAAGATTTCACAATGGAGGCCAACCTGAATGGTTTTAAAGTGGGATTTGACAAATTCATCTTAAGATCATCAGTGGCTAATAGGACTGATTATGCTATTATAATAACCACAGTATGAAAGACACAGTGTCTTTCACTACAAGGTGCTGGGGAGCATGAGCAGGAGATAGCCACTGTATTCATGTTCTGATTTTGGGGGCTTCCCATAGATATCGGATTGTTCTCCACATAAAAAGGATATTGGATAGATAAGCCTTTGGTGACCCAGCTGGGCTATTCTTATTCTGAGATTGCGAACTGCACCTGAAAACTTTTATTGTCCTCCTTTTAAAATATCACAGACATTCAAAGTCAGCTTCTATTTTCTCTTAATCAATGTGTGAATTTCAAATTATTGAAATTCGCCATTTAATTTTCCAGCTAGTTTAAATTAGATAAGATTAAAATTGAATTGACTCTGCTCCTATTTCATCAAAAACTTTCTACTTCCCCTAAAACACCTCTGATGCTCTAAAAAAAATCATACTTTTAGGTTGAAGACATGCCTTTCAAGAGGTCCTACGTCAGCTTCTGTAGAAAGAATGCATTTCTTCATGGTCAGAATCTTCTTGCCAATTTATGCTTACTCTAAAAAAAATCATACTTTTAGGTTGAAGACATGCCTTTCAAGAGGTCCTATGTCAGTTTCTGTAGAAAGAATGCATTTTTTCCTGGGAGTTCATGGTCAGAATCTTATTGCCAATTTATGCTTCGGCAAGAAGAGTGGAATAAATCTTAACAGCAAATTGGCACAGCCACATACACAACCAGCACCTGTTTAATAATTGGGAATGTGCTGACAAGATTTATATAATTTCTCCTATCCATGAATGAATTGGCAATAAAATTCAGAGTAATTTCTTTCACTTAGGGGGGTCATTCAAAAAACACCAATCTCTCCTATGGCTGTCCTTTCCCTGAATTTGCATTTATATTTATTCAGTGGAGATGAAAATGTACTCTGCAGTCTTCACCCAATGAAGGACATTGCAATCTATTCTTAGATAACATACTTAGTTGATCTGTTGTAGGGTGGAATCTTCACTCTGAAATGGATACTAGAATTGAGTCTGATGAGTGAGACAAACTACAACTCTGTCTTGTTGGTTTAACCTCCCTCACACTTTTGTTTTCCAGTTGAGCCCAACAATTGTGAGCAATTTATAAAACTTTTCCCTAGCCTATGCTACTTCGTGGCATAGTTGTTGGATGATGGCTACACAGGCAAGCACGCTCACATTAAAAATGATTAATATGACATTGGGATGAGTTAGACCACTACTAAGGTGAACTGGGTAACTTTTAAAAACTGCCTGTCAAAGATAGTATTTGTTTTTCCCAGAATGGTGAAAAATCTTTTGACAACAGAATAGCTACTTTACAACATTTCTTACATTAAATGAGGATATGTTATTCCATCAGTCTTTACTTTGGCAGAGGAGAAGGGCTTTCTTTTTTAGTTTCAAGAGATTTGAGCGGGAAAGTGAATGACGAAGATAACAGGAGTCTCTTAGACCCCCCCCATAGGGATCAACAGACACCCTGGATACCATTCCTGTATTGTTGTACCCCTGCATTATAATAACATGATCATTAACATCTCTTTAAAAAATATTAATTGTGAATCAATAAATCTTGCTCTCTTTTCAGTGTATGATTGATGACAACTGTTTTTTCCCTCCTAAAAGCACAGAGAGTGTTAAATCTTTTCAATCTCCTGCCATAACCATTAGGCTCAGCTTCTCTTGCCGGCTGCTTAGGACTGAAGACCGGCCAGATTTGACCCTCATGAGTTACCCTGTTCTCTTTCCTTCCCTTTGGAATTTGCTTTGCCTTTGAGAAGATGGCCTGCTACCTCAACTTTGTTTCCATTCTATTGTCTCCTGTTGTCTAATTGTTGCTGTTCCATCAACCGGTCCAAAGCACTATTCAGGGCTGAAATCACCAGTGAATCAAAGGAAACAAATAAGTCAGCAGTGCGCTTAACATAAGTGAACCCAGCGAGCACACAGGGGCAGATCAAAAGCTGCCCAGCTAGAGAGTGCTGATTGAGCTGCCCTACAGGGGCTAGGCTGCAGCCCAGCCTGATGAAAAGAAGCATGAAATTAACATCACTAATGTGAAGGGAGGGGGAGGGAAACATTCAGCCTGCCAGTTTTAACTTGATATGGTTAAATGTTTGATTCTCTGATCTAGGGTTTTTGGTTTCTTTTTAAAAATTTTAACTTATCTTAGCTTTGAAGTTTGTACACTTCCCTCTTTCCCCCCATACTATGTGGATATTGCCTGTACATGTTTTGACATGGCTGTGACTGTGGAGAAATTCAGTCTATGCAGTGCTCATTTCCATGCAATTTATGCCCCTCCATATTTAGAGGGGTGGTGGGAGCACCACCACCACCAAGGTAGGGAGGCGACAGGGGCAGGGGGGCAGGCTGTGGGGTTGGGGAGGTCAGGGGTTTTTTTAGCCCCTGGCTGTCTAACCCCCCCCCAACAAACTGATAAATAAATTCATGATTCGTCGATTTAAGCTTCGTGCTTCGTGATTCATCAACTTTGACAGATCACAAAGCAGGACGAATTGCCAAATGTCTCTACTTATGGGTTACCACACCAAGAGAGGCAAAGAAGACCTCTACTAGCAACCGAGCCTTCTTGGTTGTGGCCCCATTCCTGTAGAACGGGCTCCCATTAAAGATCCCCCAGGCTCCCCCTCCCTCCCAATTTTTGTTAAAGACCAAACTGTTTCAGGAAGCATTTAAAGACTTCCAGGCCTTTGAAAGCCTCACTCCTCTTTAATATAATTTTCTTGGTATCTTTCTGACAGCCTTATGTCAATTATTAACTGGTTTGTGTTCTATCAATCATGTTTATTTCTGCCATCCTGTGACTTAGGTAATGTTTGTTAGATTATGGTGTTGTTGGTTTTTTTTGTTGGGTTGTATTTCTTCTTACGATTATTGTTTTAAATGTTCTTCTATACCTATGTTTAGTTTTGTGTAGCCTCCCAGTATAGTGGCTCACCACTACATGGGTGAGATAGAAGTCTTATAAACAAACAAACAAACAGTCAAACAAGCAAACAAGCAAATCCTCCCCCTGAGTTAATTATGGATATGAATTGCCTTGTTCCACCACTGTTTAGGTTTTATTTAGGTTTCTAATCTTTGGTTTAATTTTTATTGGTGTTGGTAGAGTGTGTCGATTGTGTGGTGTTTGGTTTGGGAAAGCTGATTTTCTTATTTAATGTTAATCTCCCAGAGTAGTGCTTGTCACTACATTGGGCGGTATGTAAGTATTAAAACATTTTTAAAAAAATTAAAACACAAAGTTACAAGGAACCATTGCCATGCTTTGCTTTGAAGCCATTACATGGGCTGCTAGGAGTTTGAGCTCATCTTATTTAAGTAGATTTTCTTTTGCTGTACAACTAATTTCAGTTCTTGGGTTGGTTTGGGAGGGTTTTTTTCCCCATTGTGATTTATGATTAGAACTGTTCTTTACATTATGTGTTTCTTCACAGAAGCAAAGGATTTTAATGTATGGTCTGATGACATAAATGAAAGCCCTGAAGTGAACGTGGCAGCTGTGGTGAGTTAATTTGAATCTTCTTGTCAATCTATGCATGCATTTCTTCCTGATTTCTTTTTATGATAGCCAGGATAGAATGCAGCCACTTTTGTTTCTACCTAAGAAATCAAAAAAATAGTAGTATAATCTGGATTTGGAACAGCGTGCCACCAGGAGGTCCTTCATGAAATATGGTTGACATAATGTTTTTAATCTTAATCTATAATGTTAATGTGTACAGGTTGTACAGGAGGTACATGTGATAGGAACAAAACATTGTAATAACAGGAGTTGGCAACCTGTGGATTTCCAGCTATTTTTGGACTGCATGCCCTCAACCTGTTGCAAAAAGAGAGTATGTGTCAGTAGCAATAAATCCCGTACAATGCAAAGGGGAATGGACTCGAGACTGTCCATAGAAAACAGCTGCAGTACATTGTATAACCAAAATAAGCAAATAGACTACAGTGTCTTCCTTACAGTTAATCTGCTACTATTAATCTTTCAGTGAGCACTTTCAGGTGCTGATAAAACACAAATACAAAAAGAAAAAATTATTCTAAAGAACCAAACAAAAAGCCTTTCTCAACAGTATGTTTTGCAGCAGAAATAGCTATGAAAGTACTGGGCAATTTGAAAGCCAGTTGGCTGAGCTGGTTGCTTCTAGGAAGCTGTGAGTGTATATACTTTACACCGTTGCTGCAGTTTGGTGCTGCTTTAACCACCGTCATTCCATCCTATGAAATTCTAGTTTTGTAGTTAGTGAAATCCTTAGTACTATCTGCTAGAAAGCTCTACTACCCAGTCCCTTCAATTACAGCAGAAAATTCTAAGTACATTGGACATGCATTACATTCCTTTGCTTTGTAAAGCTGTACATCCCAGGATTTAATAGGACAAAACGATGGCAGCTAAAGCAGAACTGAACTGTCATAGCTGTGTACAACAGATACTGTATGTCACCAGGCAAGCTGCTCTGATCCTAAAGAGAGACAAGGTAAAGAGAGAGAGCTAAGGCAGAGTTTGCCAACCTGCTTCTTTCAATATATGTAGGACTACCTCCCTACATAGTGTCATTGATGTTTGGAGATAATGAGAGTTGTAACCCAACACATTTTGAGGATAACATCTCACGGAAGATAGTTATAAACCAGTGGTTCCCAATCTTGGGCCCCCAGACCACAATTCACGGAAATCCTGGCCAGCACAGCTAATGATGAAGGCTTCTGGGGGTTTTAGTCCAAGAAATCTCGGGACCCAAGGTTGGGAATCATTGTTATACAGTAGTTAAAAAACAAAGAACCTGAAAAAGGAGGAGGACAAGAAAAGCAGGGGAACTAAGACAGGAGAGCTGGATGAAGTGATGGAACAATGAGAAAAACTGTTAAAGAACAAGCATTGAATATATACATAACTGTTCATAAACATCTTCCTGCTTTTTTTGTTGCGGGGTTTTTGGGCTGTTTAGCCGTGTTCTAGAGCTTTTTCTTCCGAACGTTTTACTGGTCTCTGTGGGATTGTTGAATATTTGTAGCTGTGGGATCAGGTTTTTGTTCTGATCCCACACATTACACCAGAACACAGACAGAATTCCTACTCCAGTCCTCTGAAGATGCCGGCCACAGAGACTGGTGAAACATTAGGAAGAAAAACCTCCAGAACATGGCCAAACAGCCAGAAAAACCTGCAGCAACTATCAGATTCTTAGAGAACACATTTTCCTGCTTTTTTTTCAATTCTGAGTGGAACAACTGGAAGAAGAGGCAACACTTGCTGTTTCTGCAGAACATCTGTAGAACATTTTCTGTCTGTCACTCACTTGCTCACTCTCTCATACGCACACATATGTATACCCACCACCAGCACCAAATATTGATGAAAAGCAAATACATATCACATATAAATATAAATGAAAGGCAAATGTCTTTCAGGGGCAAGATGGGATCTCTGAGACCCATTAAGGTTTTCTAATTAGATTTTTGGGAGTAGATTTTTAAAAGCCATCCATCAATCTTCAAATTAGTGAGAATAATCTGAGTGACATTATAAAAAGTAAACAAAAGCTGAAACTTCAGCATGTTCATACAACTGGGCTTTGCTGGGCTATTTTGCTAAAAAGGATTTCCCTTGTTTGTTTATTTTTCTGAAAGTTTCACTTGTTAATGAAGATCCTTTACTGAATAAGGAGGCTTAATTATACTGGCAACACTTTCAAATAGGAAAGCTGACTCAGTGTTATTCCTGATGCAACGTGAGCAAAATCAGCAAAACACCATTGCAGAGAAAACAAACAGAATAGTGTAGCAACTTCAGGGGCATGCCAGGGATTGAAATCTTTTTCTTTTTTTTTTAAGTACTGAAATGAAACCATGAATTTATATACCAGCAGCCGGAACTTGAGCAGCAGATTAGTATATGATTCACAGACCATGCATGATCAGCAGTGCACATACAATGCTTTATCCATCTGCATAGGAAGTGATTTTTAATTTTTTTATATTTTTTGCTTCATAATATCTGTTAAGCAAATTAAATTCATTTACAGACTTTGAATATTTGTTCCCCCGTTATCATAGCTCTAAAATTTACCATCTTTTCAAATAAACTCATGACAAGAACATTGTGTTTTTGCTATTAAACTGGCCCCCACAACACTCATGTAGTAGTTCAATAAGTCAGATTTAAAAAATATAATATACTGTAGTACATATTAGGGGGGAATGTGATGTACTTTATTACACTGTGTGAGAGTTCTTGAGTGACCCCCTCCCCCTTGCTCCCCCAGCGGCAAAACAACACAAGAGTCATCCTCTTTCTTTAAACTATTGACATTGGTAATGGCGCGATTAAAAAAATCTTGTGAATAAATAAACATTTATTAACAAAGGCCCAACAGAGGCAACAGGCACAGCTTCAACAGGTACAGTCTCTTCTCTCTCCAATGGGGTGAGTAAGGGGTTCCAATAACATTTGTCCATTCTAGCAGTATTCTTCCCTTCATCTGCCCAAGGGTCTCTCCCTTGCAGTGGCAGCAACATTGGCAGCAGTGGCATGGCCTCCTGCCTCCACCACTCTTCTGTGGCAGTTGTCTCCTGGGGTTCCCCCAAGAAAAACTTGTCTGGAATCCCCTGCTGGTGATGGGGAGAGGGTTCTCCCAACACTTCTCTCGGCTTCCTCCCTTGGCACCATCAGCTTCTCCCATTCCCCAGCCCAGGGATTTGCCAGTTCTATCCATTCCCACCCCTCTGGCAAAATGTTCTCTCCTTTCTTATTACTCTTCATGCATCCAGACTCTTCTACCCCCTTCCCTTCACCACATTGTTATATCCCTCCTCTTCTGATTCATCTGCCCTCTCTACCATCTTTTCTTCGTTTCTTCTTCTTCTTACAAAATCGGTTTGTCTTTTCCTCCCAGTTTGTCTTTCTTTCCCCCTCTGGCATCTTCCAGTTCCTGCTGTTCAACTTGACTTTGCTCCTTTTCCTGGATAAAGGGGAGGGCACACAGGTGGGAGGTGGGATCCTCTTGACATTTTTCTCACAAACTGTTGCCAGTCCTCTGTCTGTCTGTCTGTTTATATGCCACCTTTCTCCTAGATAACCTAAGCTGGCTTACAGTGTTAAAAGAAACAAAGTTTAAAACCAGATAATCAATTATTGCAATATTTAATAAGAACAAGATGAAAAACAAAAGTAAAACAAAGAATAAAATGATCCTTTGAAGAAGAAGAAACCAGTCACCTTTATGGCAACTCTATGAATTAATAACCACCCCAAGGTCCTTTCATTAGCACCTTTCCATGGTATCTGTAAAGCTCTCATCCAGCCCCACATTTTGAATTAGTCCATTTTTTCTTGTTAGCTTTCTTCAGTTTCTAAGCGTTCATGTCTATACACAGTAACTGAGAATACCATGGTACAGATTATTGCAGGTATTACTGATTGTTTAGCAGACTGTAAATGGGATGGTTTATATTTTGTTGCTTCTAGACCTGTTTTTCATAATGCTTTTACCTAACATTTTTTCAAATTTGTAAGGGAGGTAAATTTTATTTTTTTAAAATATTTTTACTCCCACCTTTCTCCTAAAAAAGGACACAAGTTGGCTTACATTATTAAAACCACAGTATTAAAGCTAAAAACAGTAAACTATTCTAATATTAAAGAAGAATTAACAACATTATATTAAGACATTAGGTAAAAGTATTATGAGAAACAGTTTTAGAAGCAACAAAATATAAACCATCCCATTTACCATCTCCTAAACAGTCAGTAACAAAAGAAAAACCTGACTGAAAAGGGAAATCTCTTTGCCTGTTTGCAGAAGGACACCAAAGATGGGACCAGACCAGCTTCCTGTGGCAGGGAGTTCCAGAGTCTGGGAGCAGTGACAGAGAAGGCCATCTCCCATGACCTCACCAAATGTCACTGTGAGGCTGCTGGAACCGAGAGGAAAGCCCTCTCTGATTATCTTAACATCTGGGTGGGCTCTAGCACTCCCAGAATGGAGAACTATGGCATTTAAAGTTCAGAAAATCGATAAATCCCATCCCCAGTCCCAACTAAACCAGCTCTTTGAATCAGTGGGATTTATACAAGTATTAACTTGTCATTCAGCAATTGATTCAGAGGGTCTGCCCTAGGTGAAACTAGCGACTGGATCCACCTCAGAGTCTTTGGCATTCTATGACAAATTCAGCCTTCACCTCTGGAAGACTGTGTGAGCTACAACAAATCACAAAGAGGAAGCAAGCTCCGTGTGGAAGGAAATGTGAAGGCAACATCATATTGCAGCTGTGCAGTTATTTTAGCCCTTTTACCGGTTTAATAGGGAAAGATTGAATTAACATATGCCTCAGCTATTGTTTCTAGGGAATACTCACTTTGTGAGAGACTAAGCTAATTTCTTTGCAAGCAGCCGGTCATTTTAGTTGTGGAACAGAAATCAAAGCAGTGACTGTTAGGGGTCATAAAGGGGGGAGGGGAAATAGATGCACAGGCATACGCACAAGAAAAACCTCTCA